GAAAACAGAGTTAACATTTCAGGTCCGGTGACCCTTCCTGAGAACCCAGAAGTATGTTGACCATCATGTGAAGCTTTTTTGAAGCTATGATGGCCACCAAGGTCAAACAGACAAAATAATTTCTGTTCACAGGATAGTCTTTCTCTTCTTAAAAATGACAATGTCAGCTATATAAGTTTTTAAATAAAACATTTTCCAACTCTTCAATCATTAATCCATAATAGCAGCTGATACTGTCCAGGCTATCCCCTGGTGCCCTTTGCAGAATCCATGGATGAACCACCATCATTTGGAGAGCTGGAACGAGCAATTAAATGGATGAAAAACAACAAATCCTGCAGCTGCAATCATATTCAAGCTGACGTCTTACACTGACAGACTTTTGCTCACATCAAGATGGTACAAATGCAACTCTCACCTTCGGGAGGACAAAAAACTCCCATCCTCCCTTCTCCCACCATCTACACCTCTGACTTCAGGAATTTGACAGTTTTACCTATGGGCAAGAAGGGCAGATAAATAATGCTGTGGAAACTGTCAGTTGTCGTACCATCAAATAAATCATGGTATTCTCCTTAAGTTCTGCATACATTCAGACAGAAACTCTTGCAAGTTCAATTTTGATGACCAGGCATTGGCAAGATGCCAAAAGTTGTTTTTTTCCAGCCAGGTCTTTTTTCAATTTTGAGGTGGCAAACATTTTGGGGAGGACAAAGATGCTCTAAAATGTTGCTTGAATTGTGGCAGCATTGGCCTTAATGACTGGGAAACCTGCTTCTAATCATTCAAAAGTGGTGGCAACTTGGATGTTAACCTGCATCTAAAATGTCTTAATGGTGAGGCAGAACAGAAGAGAAAAGAAAGCAAATCATGTATCTAGGATTCCACTGGGACATGCTGTTGCATGAGCTAATGATCTGTGCATTGAGAATTGGCTTATTTGGTCACATAAAAAACCCCTAGTAGATACTCGCATCCATGAGTAGACATCATTCTCACGTCAATCTAAAGCTAACAACAGACCTCGAATTTATAGCATCAAGATGAATTTTGGTGATTGCCTTGGTTTTAACCTGTTAAGCATATGAGAACAGGACCATCAGCATCTGAAGAGATGATGCTGGTAGACCACCCATTGTCCAGATCATAATAAGAGAGGGGATATACAATTTTACAATTACAGACTACTATACCAAATAATACATAATCAGTTGCCCTGCTGCTGAGAGGCATCTATGTGTAAGTATTTTGTCATTTAGAGATCAAATGCATTTCTTCACCTGGCTGATCCTGAGAAAACAAGTAAACATTTTGCAGTTTGAAAGAGGTGTTATGAGTAGTGTGATAATGCTTGCATTATGGTACACCTTTTACATGTCACATTTTTATTAACTTTGTTTTACAATGACAATTTTAAACCGTATTATTGCAAGCCTTTCTTAGATACAAAATTTAATCATTTTCAGACCATCAAATTTAATAATCTTTGAAGGCTTCAAGCAATGTTTCCAAATATAAGATAACCAAGCCTATAGATTCTGCTTCATCTTATTGCTGACAGCAATCAGAAGATAAAATACATATTCTATATCTTCTCCAGTTCTGTCAAATTAAATGTCTCAACTGCACTGGGAAGCTATTCAAAAGGGCACCTTCATTAGTGAGATTCTAAAATATTAGGAAGATCTTGGGAACTTGACAAAATAGAGAGCTTGCAGAATTCCAATAGTATTTAGGAGTCCCTCGTATGTAAGCAGTACAAAAGGGACCCAACAGCGTTCAAGTAGTGAGCAGGACATGATGGGAGTAGCATAATGGAGAAAGGATAATTGATAAGTGTTGCAGCAAGTATGTGTAAACTTAAAATAAATGTATACATTTTGCAAGCCATTTAAATATACTACTCTTAGATATTTTGGTATAGCTTATAGCAGTGCTTCACAAACTTCTTTCCCATTGTGATCCAATATCAAGCCTTGAAAATTGTTGGGATAATTCAGCAATGTACAAAGAACAAAGAAAATTACAGCACAGGAACAGGCCCTTTGGCCCTCCAAGCCTGCGCCGATCCAGATCCTCTATCTAAACCTGTCGCCAATTTTCCAAGGATCTGTATCCCTTTGCTCCCTGCCCATTCATGTATCTGTCTAGATACATCTTAAATGACGCTATCGTGCCCGCCTCTACCACTTCCGCTGGCAACGCATTCCAGGCACCCACCACCCTCTGCGTAAAGAACTTTCCACGCATATCTCCCTTAAACATTTCCCCTCTCACCTTGAAATCGTGATCCCTAGTAATTGAGTCCCCCACTCTGGGAAAAAGCTTCTTGCTATCCACCCTGTCTATTACCTCTCATGATTTTGTAGACCTCAATCAGGTCCCCCCTCAACCTCTGTCTTTCTAATGTAAATAATCCTAATCTACTCAACCTCTCCTCATAGCTAGCGCCCTCCATACCAGGCAACATCCTGGTGAACCTCCTCCGCACCCTCTCCAAAGCATTCACATCCTTTTGGTAATGTGGTGACCAGAACTGTACGCAGGATTCCAAATTCCAAATGTATGTGTTGCAGAACCAAACATTACCAGAACAAACTTGGAATACAGTGCTGCCACTAATATGCCTCTTGGATCACGTTTAGTAAACAATGTTAGAGGATAAAGCATTCAGGAGTCTTAACAAGAAAAGGCGTTTGTCTAGACAACAAGATTTAGATTCTCAATGGGTACAAGTTATTATTGGCCAATTACACATAATTGCTGAGATTTCTCAGAAGCCAGCCTTGATAGACTTTATTCCATTGCAGTCTCAACCTAGACCTGTTTTCCCCACCTAAGACTGTATGACATCATCAGCTTGGGTAATACTTAATGCAGTCTCAACATTAATCCTTTCAGAACCATTACTGGTTTTTTATTTCAAAACATACTCTATTCATAAAAATCTTTGTATATATACATTGACACAAAAGCAGTTTGGTTCTGCAGAGTTGCATATCAAACAAACAAAATGTTGAAACTTTGACTTTATCCCAAAAAAACCAAAGACCTCTCTTACTCAATATTTACATATATTTGAGGCACTAGGAGGGTCCAATAACTGAATGGATTCCCGTTTACCTTCAGCAGAAAGAACTCAGACTGTAGTCTTTTCCCACTGCACCAGGCTTTAGTGCATCCCTCAGCATGTAGTCCTGGACTTTGGAATGTGCCAGTCTGCAACACTGAGTTGGGGTGAACTCCTTGATCTGGAAGACCAACAAGGTTTGGGTAGACCAAAGAGCATCTTTCACAGAGCTGATGGTCCTCCAAGCGTACCTGATGTTTGTCTCAGTGTGCGTCCCAGGAAACAGACCGCACAGAATTCCGCGTCACAGAGCTGTTCAGGATGAACCTTGACAAAAACCACTGCACCTTTTTCCAGTCTTCCTTTGCAAAGGCACATTCCAGAAGGAGACGTGTGACAGTCTCAACCCCTCCACAGCTGCTTCGAGGGCAGCGTGCGGTGGTGCAGGCTGATCAGGCAAGCATGAAGGATCTCACAGATAGTGCCCTTTTCACCACTATCCAAGTGATGTCCTGGTTTTAGAACCATTACAAGTGAAAACTTTGAAAGCTGGGTAGTTGCATTGGGGTTTTGGGTAGCGTAAATGAAGCTGTGAGATCTTTAGGAAGCTCTGGCTTGTAGGTTGTTATGACCTATACTGGTTATGCATTCTTGAATGATAAAAGACTTTCTTTTAATTGAATGACCATGGTTAAAGGCATCTAATCAGCGTACAACTGCATAATAGTGATATGAGGATTAATTCTATGACTTTGCATCTTAATCAAGGAAATGTATTTGCATTTTCTGCACAATTTACATTGGATGAAATTCACTAATATCATAGCCACAGTTTCACATGATATTCTTCCTATGAGAGATTTTTCTTTGAATCTGTGGGGGGTAGGGGACAACGGGGTTGGCGGGGTGTGGGGGTGGAATTACTGGGTGCTGATGGTATAGTGGTAATCGAGAGACCCAGACCAATACTTTGGGGACACAGGTGCAATCATACAAAATCACTTAATAGATCTGGAATTTTAAAAAAAGGCTAGTTCTATTAATTCATTGTTGTAAAAACCCATCTAGTTCTCCAAGACCTTTTATGGAAAAACATCATCCCCCCACTTTATGAGTGTACCCTAGAGGTAACTCCTGACTCACAGCACTGTGATTGACTGTTAAATGTCATCTGACTTGCTATGAAGTCAAAAAGGATTGAAACCAGACAGAATAGCTATCATCAAAATCAAAACTCCCTTCCTAACAAGGCAGCATGGACTGCTGTAATTCAAAAAAGCAGCTCAACACTGACTTCTCAAGAGTAACTCAATTGACTTCTCCAGGTACGGCCAACAAGTATGATGCCTAAGCCCATAAAAGGCAAATTTAAAAAAAAACAACAGGAAAATAGAACAATGAAAATAGATGTGAGAGCAAAATGGCACTTAATGGAAAAGCGCACGTGTAGGATTTATATTTGGACTCTGCTGCCAATATCACCAACAAGCATGTAAAACAACAATCTTCCTTTTCCCTGGTCATTTTGATGATAGCTATTCTGTCTCAATCCTTTTTGACTTCATAGCAATTCAGATGACATTTAACAGTCAATCACAGTGCTGTGAGTTTATATTTAGCATTGGTTAGCAAGAGCACATATAGCAACACCTTTCATTCCAAAGACTGATGAATATCCTGCAATCTAGGTGGCCCAGTGATTTTCTAGACTTAAAACTTCTTTATAAATTTTCTGAATCATTGCATTGAAAATATCAATGTTACGCATTTTACTGCAAGTTAGCAATAGTTATCATGTGCAATATATAATAAATAGATAAATTACCTCTGATCGTTTTTGTAATAATGACAGGAAACATCAAATTTGTAAAACTTCAAACTGTGGTCTCTGTTACCAGCTGTTATTCATCATTTTTTCATGCATTTACAGGCAACGGATGCAAAAATCAACTATGTATGATCTCTGTGTGGAAATGCAGCGATTGTCCCAGGAGTTTCAGTGGCTTCAGATCTCTCAGGATGAGTTCCTTTGCATGAAAGTATTGCTACTCTTTAGCATTAGTAAGTATGGGCTACTGCACTGATAATAAGCCATAGAAAAGACAGCTGAATTTGATATCTGCAATTGTTGGTAATGTTAAAGAACTATGCATTTTGAATATATCTTCACAGGTTTTTTTTTTATTCAATTTTCATGGATACCCAATGCAACAAGTGCTGCAGCAAGATCCCAATTGGTATCACCCGCCAACAACCTTACAGACTTTTGTGAAAATTTTTCAGGCAATCCAACATTTCTTTTCAGAGAGTGTCACAAAGAGAAGGCTAGAAAACCATGTTTTATTTTGGGTAGTTGTCAGAGGACAAGAGTGAGAAGCTCAGTATAAAAAACATGTTTGAAATTACTAAAATAAGGATGTGCAAATTTTGGGTTATAAGTGCCTGACCCATCCTCCATCATTGACTTTGGCAAATGACCAAAGGCTACAAACATTTTGAATCCTGCGGAAGCCAAACAGAATAGGGCCAGAACATCCAGACCTGAGCCTGTTTCAAATCCTTGTAGCGCTTTCCTAAGAGAGTCATAGTATACACCATATACGACAATTATCTGTGAATACTTCACAAACTGTGCCAATTATTTTTAGTTTTAAAAGGAGCAATTTATGTTTAATTAGCAAGCCTCCTCTGACATTACTCCATAGGGTGTGTAGTTTTTAACAAAAGGAGCATTTTACCTTGTTTTGGTTTTCTCAGAGTGTGGGCACTGCAATCAGCAGTCATTGCTCATCCCTAATTGCCCTTCGGAAAGGCTTTGGAAAATTAGGGAATGAATCACTCACCACAGAGTGATCAGTTCTTGTAACTACAATATATGGTTTGTTCAGTTACTTGTATGTTTAATGTTACTATTCCCCAGGATATTGACAGTGACATTAAGCTATTATTGGCACCCTGTTGGAAGATGTTCTCAGGGAGTGAATAAATCTCTATTAGTAGAGGCAAGGATTAGTCAAGGATAGTCAGCATGCCTTTGTAAGGTCATGTCTAACAAATTTGATTGTTTTTTTCAAGGAGGTGACTTAGGTGTGTAGATGAAGGCATTGCAGTTAATGTAATTTCCTTGGGTTTCTGGAAGGCTTTTGTCAAGGTCTGTCAGGTCAGCTTGGTTAAGAAGCTAAGAGCCCACGGGATCCAGGGCAATTTGGCAAATTGGATCTAAAGTTGGCTTAATCGCAGGAAGCAGAATGATGCTTAAAGGGTGTGTATATAACTGGAAGCCTATATCCACCGGTGTATCAAAGGGTTCGATAGTGGTTTTGTTGTGTGCAGAAATAATCTAGGCATAAGAATAGGAGGTATGATTAATAAGTAAGTTGCTCACGTGATTAGATTTCTGAAATATATGATAATCTGGATGTCAATCCATATGAAATAAGGTTACATGGATAAATGCTGCTTTCACATCATGTCTGTGAAATTTTATTAACCAAATTTCACTGTCTCATTGCCAGTACCAGTTGAAGGTCTGAAAAACCAGAAATACTTTGATGAGCTACGTTTGAACTACATTCAGGAACTAGACAGAGTAATTTCCTTTCAAGGAAATGATACCACAAATAATCCACAGCGTTTTTATCAACTAACCAAGCTCTTGGACTCACTGCAGATAGTAAGTTGTGATTCTGTTTAGCAATACTTTGTTTAGATCAGATAAAATTAGTATCTGGTGCTAAATAACCTGATGATGCTGCTACAGATTTTCCACATAAACGTGGTTTCAAGTGAAATAACCAAAGCATTGAGCAGAGCAATCTGTGAAAATGGCTCACCTGAAACTGGATCAAACTGAGGGGACCTCCAGCTATGACTTCTCCATATGGAGACTATTGGCAAGCTACAAAAGGTTGCTGCTGCTCCTGCACTTACTGGAGCATTTCTTCCTCCTCAGTTTCTCTGTGCCTTTGTTGTCAGTGGCCACAAGGGTAGTAACCTTTGCTATGGCTTGATCCATTGGTCCTTGGGAACAACTTGGAAAAACAGCTGTAACCAGACCCCCTAACTAATCCCTGTGCAGCTTTCAGATTGACTTACAGTGAACATCCAAACTGTTTGCACTGGACCTGCAAGACTGGACTATTAATGATACGGAACCCCTAACACTGAACACCCAAGCAGTTGACTGACCATGTCCAAGTCCATGGACAGTGGTCACACAGTGCCCTACTCTTATTGTACCAGGAGCCCTGACTGATGACAATCCCCCGGACTTGAATGACGGCTACTCCCCTTAACTTTGAAGCATGGCTATTTGGATGAAGCACATTCAGTGTGCTTGCCGCGTAACTTGCTGACACATGCTGCAGATTTGACATTGATGTAGCATGGTGCCATACAGCAAGAATTTACAATTTGCATACAATTTAAGATGGATATGGATATGTTCTTGATTAATAAGGGGATCAAGGGTTACAGAGCGAAGGCAGGAGAATGGGATTGAGACACATATCAACCATCAAGATCAAGTGGTGGAACAGACTTGATTGGCCGCATGCCCTAATTCTGCTCCTATCTTATAACCTGTGGTTTAAAGTGTCCACCACCTTGACTGATCACTGTGGCAAACACGACAGACTGTCTGGCATTGTGCCTGCAGTAAAAAGCAAGACATTATGGAAGTAATTTAAGATGGTTAGTTCTTCATGTGGCAAAATTACACAAAAAGGCAAGGTAGATACACTCTGGGCATCCAGAGAGGCGCAAAGTGAGTGATAGTTAAGGGAGCAAGCAGAGCATCTCGAGGAACACCTACTCCAAAAATTGTTTTGGTTACCTGTCCCTGTGCACAAAGTAGCCTGTCAGCAGTACTACAATGCAAGGTGTTGGTGCGCTGCAAATGCAGCGTTGAAGTTGTTGCCTGTATCCTTAGTGGTTTGGAGTTTGCCATGATAATTGAGTGATATTGGTGTGTGTCCGTTGCCAACCTCCATGGAAGAGATGTGCTGGCAGTTGCTGTCCATGGTGAGTATCCTGAGATGTTGGGCACTCCTGGCCCAGAGGAGTAAGAAGCGAGCTGGAACTGTGAGGTACCCGCTCTGAATTTCATGTTGAGAATTGTCACCATATAATTTCTCTTCACTGCAGAAGAGAGTAGAAAACTGCATATAAATGAGGTGAGATTAGGTACTAATGAAATATAAATGCAGATAAATAGCCCTGCCACTTCCCACAAGCAAGATTCCCATTTCACTGTTCAAACTTTGGATGGAAAGTCAGGTGTTTTTTTCTCAGCATTGAAAATCTCATTTTTCTGATCATTCCATGTTATCCCAACTGACTCAACTTTACCCTCCTTTTTCAGGGACTAGTAAAATTCAACCTATATTTTAAAAATGCAGTGCAGCAGGCAGTCAAGAAGGCAAATGATATGTTGGCCTTTATAGCAAGAGGATTTTAGTACAAGAGCAGGGATGTCTTGTTGTTGGAGTTGTACAGAGTCTTGGTGAGACCACACCTAGAACATTGTGCTTATCTGAGTAAGAATATTCTTGCGATAAAGGGAGTACAGCAAAGGTTTACCAGACTGATACCTGGATGGCAGGACTGATGTATGAGGAAAGATTGTATCAATTAGGATTATATTTGCTGAAGTTAGAACATAGAACAGTACAGCACAGTACAGGCCCTTCGGCCCACGATGTTGTGCCAACCTATTATCCTACGAAGATCAAAATACCCTGCATCCCCTACATTTTACTATCCTCCATGTGCCTATCCAAGAGTCGCTTAAAAGTCTGTAAAGTATCTGACTCCACTACCACTGCCAGCAGCACATTCCACACACCCACCACTCTCTGTGTGAAGAACCTACCTCTGACATCTCCCCTATACCTTCCTCCAATCACCTTAAAATTATGCCGCCTCGTAATAGTCATTTCCACCATGGGAAAAAGTCTCTGACTATATACTCTGTCTATGCCTCTCATCAGCTTGTACACTTGTTCTTACAGAGATTCCTACAGAAACTAATAAAATTCCAACTGGACTAGATGGGGTAATTGCCAGAAGGATACTGCCAATGGTGGGGAGTCTAGAACTTGAGCTCACAGTCAAAGGGTTTAGGATTGACCTAAGGAGAAATTTCTTCACCCAGAGAGTGGCAAGCCTGTGCAATTCACTTTTATAGAAAGCAGTCGAGGTCAAACCATTATATGATTCGAGAAGAAATTGGACATGGTACTTAGTCTAAAGGAATCAAGGATATTGGGGAAAAAATGGAGAACAGGCTGTTCAATTGATGACCCAGCTGTGATTATAATAAATAGTGGAGCAGGCTTGTAGGGACAGATGGCATATTCCTGTTTCTATTTTCTATGTTTATTGAAAGAGAAGAGGTGAATCTGATAATGTAGCAAGTAGTCAAGAGATAATTGGAGTTAATTGATTGATTGGGTAGATACAAAAGGGGTACAGGAGCCCACGCCTCACAACCTGAGCCACCTTATGTATATGCCCTGTGTGTCCTTCTGTTTGGTGTAAAGGAATTTTTTTTTGGCTGCTGCCGCACACCATCTGCTTCTAATCCTTCATCCCTAGCCCAGACACACCTTGACCTTCTGTTTTACTGCTTCTTTTTGTCCATAGAGGGCTCTCAAGGTGCGATTCCTCCCAGTTTCTGTCAGGGACCTGGGGTGGAGAGTGTTTTTCTGCAGTAGTCCTGTGCAGTCGTAGATTAAGGTGGTTGATGGGCTCCTAGCCCAAATGTTTATGTTGCAGTGCTGTAGAGTCCATGGATCATGTATTTTCAGTTGTGGGTAGTTTCACCACTTTTTAGTTTTCTGACAAACTTTTTGTTCTTTCAGTTACAGTTCAGCCCCACGCGCGTAATCTTTGGTCACCCGGTGTGGAGGGGTGGAATGGGCAAATCAGAGGACCTCTTCACGTGTCTGCTCCTGGGCCTTGTCAAAGTAGGCATCACCAGTTCCAGGCAGTGAAAGAAGTTGTTGTTGCCAGCTGCCTGCCCCTCTTCCAGGGCTACATTCGCGATTGGGTGTCCTTGGAGAGAGGGCATGCAGTGGCCACCAATATTCTCAAAGCCTTTAGAGCAAGGTGGACACCACAAGGGTGAAGTGCCTTATTTCCCCCTCCAAATCCATTTTGCTTTAATCCTCTCCCTACTTTCCCTAACTTCCTTTGTTCCTGAATTGACATTAACAGGCTTTACATGTAAATTGAAAATAAGGATGATTCAGTCATGGTGGGTAAAGGTGAAGAATAACACAGGGGTGTTTGACGGGTGGAAGAAAACCGTATAGTTATGCTTGAACGCACTTTCGAATTTTTATGAAAAAGGAGAGCAGTTGGGACTTATGAAGGGAAGAAGCTGGAAGACTGAGTATTTAATAATTATACCAACAAAAGAAAGGTGTCTTTGATTTACGTGTCAACAACTTGATCCAAATTGACACTGATAAGCTTCCAAATTATCACTATATCTAACATGAATTGAACCATATTATCCCTACCTGTACCTCAGTATATGAATGTGCATGTGAATATTTAAGCATAAAATTAGATGCATGAAAATGATTTCAGAAGATTCATTTAATTTTTAAGGTTTGATGAGCTAATGTTATCTGAAAGCATTATGTATATTTTATGATACAAAAGCGATTGAAAATGGAATCTACAGAAAGAATAGTGTTGAATATTACTAGTTGACTGGCATAAACATTAGAGAGTTTGTTCAGTGTCTTTTATTTGGATCTCCAGACAATAGCTTGTAGTGATGGTAGATTCATAGAAATAATCACTGTTTTTAGTATACAAACAGAAACTTCTTGAGTATCTCAAGTCCAGCAGTATCCTGTGGGGAGAAAAACAGATGTCATGTCCCACATCTATTTGACTCTACCTCGGACCTGCTTCATGTCAGTTTGGATGTCAGCCAATTCATGAGACTCTAGTTGGACTCACAGGTTCAACTCTGTTTCTCTCTCCACAGATGTTGCTAGAACACGTGCGTTTCTCCTCCATTTTCTGTTTTTTTTTTAAATTTCAGATGTCCAATGTCTGTGGTACTTTGTTTTTATTTCACTGTTGTAAGGGTTCAGTTTATCAGCTAAACAATTGACAAACTAGGTATTTACCATTCTGATTAATTAGCTGTTTGGTAGTACTCAACTTGCGTGTTGCTGAGAAGAAAGACATATTTTGACAGAACTTTTCATCTTGGGCTCATCAGGATAATTCACATGAATGCCAGTTTAAGGGGAAAACCAGCATTTATGCTGGATGAGATGAGAGTGATGATTTGTTAGCACGGGGCCACTGGTAGAGGAAATGCCATTAAGAATGTACCATTTAATGATGATTCACAGTTAGTTGCCTGAGCATTGTGCAACCAACAGATAGATTTGGGCATTGCCCTAGAAATGAACTGTGAATGGCTGCCACCTATTTTGTTGAATTGAAAGTTTTGACAAAAATTTTTTTTTTAACAACTTTTGTCCAGTAGTAAAGAGGCTGAAATAACTGCACCGAGGCCGCTATCTTGTCACCAAGTCACCCTTTATTTACATTGCACAGTACACTGGCTGTGGCCAGAAGCTTGGGGTAAGTCCCCGAACTGAACAGATTCTGAATCCCATGTTTATGTCGGTCAGCTAGGGCTTCCTGATTGGCCCAGGTTAATGACACCAATCAAGGATCTCATAGTCAGTGGATCCATCTGGTTCCAATCACTCAACGATGTACTAAAAAACATGCTGTGCAAGCATAGTGCATCAACTTTCAAATTTATTCATTATGGTATAATGCTCTGCAAAGATCCTGAGAAGAAGCCATTTCTCCTACAGGAAGAACTGAACAACCAGAGTGTCACTCAACCAGGTTACCCTTGTTGATCAACCTCAGAATGCCATTAGGAAAGATCTGGTAGCAGAATTCCTCTCAGCTATTTTTGTCTTCCACTCTCATGATACAAGCATGAATGGAAAATGGAGTTATTTGAGTGACCTTCAGCTATACTTGCTTTGTGTGTTTTTACTTTTAGTAAGATACTAGTTGACACAGTTCTGCTTGAGTAATTGGGAGTAAATTTTGCATATATTGCTGAAACTTGATGTGTCAATTTTATTACAAAATGTGCTATAGCCAAAAAAATTAAATTAATTTTAAACAATGTATTTTAATTGCAAACTGTTGTGAGCCTCACAGCCAGTAACACAATTAGTTTTGTTTCAATAATCAATTTTAGTAATAAATTCATTTTACTGCAGCATTACTTTCAAATTGAAATGTTTAGGTAGTTATGTCAAACAAAATTACTTTTAGTCATCTGATGTACAGATGTTAATAGTCGGTAAGAGATAACAAGATCGGGATTTAGGTTGGTATTTTAATCACAGAATTCGCACTTCAGGGATTATTTGCATGGTTTGTTACAAATTGTAAAATCATAACTATTTTTTGCTGGCATGTTATAATTTATATGTGTGAATTGTAATTATTAGAATATTAGAATGATATAAAGAAAACAAAAATGTCATTGCTAATTCTTGATTCATTTACCAGTTTTTTTTAATGTTTTTCACAGACAGTGAGGAAACTCCACCAGTTTACATTCGATCTGTTCGTTCAGTCTCAGTCTCTGAGCGTCCAGTTCCCTGAAATGATGGCAGAGATAATCTCTGCCCAGGTACCAAAGATCCTAGCTGGTATGGCTAAACCGCTTCTTTTTCATGAACCGTGACGTTCATTGCTTGCATATGTTATACTGCCTGTAACTGTACTACCTAGCATTTATCTTGTTTTCAAATTCATCAGTTCAGTCAGATGCTATATGCGTTCTGATAAAGAAATGAAAAAAATTTGTACAGAATCTACCTTTTTTTCCAGTGGTCAGTTGACCACCCAGTTACAGAGTTGGTCATGTTATACAACCAATCTGAGGTAGGCAGGTTATAATCTTATTGACTGGTTATTATGTTGGACCACACAAATTACTGGTTGATACCTTGGTCACATTTAGTAAGAATCAGCTGCATTCACCTCTTTATTGGTCCTTCAGAGTAGTTCCATTTACTGATTTTTACTTAAAGCTACCTACATTTTTTTTATTATTTTGAAACTACCTAGTTACCTGTTTTCATTTTACATCCTTAAAACATATCAGATATCAATTTTGCCTCGTGTTAGATATTGCCTCACATCATGTTTCATTGCATTTATACAAAAAATGTTAAGAAGCAAAATCTGATGTAAATTGCATTTTCTTTTAAAATTTGCACTAAAATATTTCCTTTCCTGAATGCCAGAAAAGCAGTATGTGTTGTGGTAGAATTGTAGGATGGTTCCAGAATTATTAAATGAATTTTTCTTGTTTGCCAGAATTCATTCTGATGTTTAAAACATCCATTCAAAAGCCTAAAATCAGAAAATTTATAAGTTTGGATCCAAATATTTCATATTTCATCTTTAAAGAATGCTCAAGTACTGTACTGTTTTGTGCAAGATTTGGTATCTGGTGTTTGTGCTTAGTTGATGAATTCAACTTTTGCCTTGTCAATGTAACAAACATCAGAATCCCACATTTTATATCTACCAAAGCTTTTTTAAAAATTTTAGTGAGGTTTCTGTTATACACTTTTATTTAAATTGTCCATGCAGTTAAGCACAATACCAACTGCATATTTGATTATTTAGCCTGAATTTTTGCGTGCCAGAATTTATTTTATTCTGAACACACAGAGAAAAAAAAGTTAGTGTGAAACATTTAGCCTTTAAATAATGCAAGTAAACTCAACCTGGCAATGAAAGGCACACACTATTTAATTCCTTTTCTAACTTAAAAATTGCAAGCATTTTCGTTGGTACGTTATTTTCCTGGCAACCTTTGTATTTTAATTAGTTTTTTTCTAAATCGCTATTTTGTTAAACTTGCACAAAGGCATTACAAAACCACTTCCGAACACAGCATAACTATATTTATCTGTATGATACCATTATATTTGCACCATTTTGGCTTACTGAAAACCATTTAAGTTATTGTTGTTTTTCTGAAAAAATGATGCATGAATATGGGCCATTTAGTCAAAGTATCTGGCATTCAACGAAAAAGACATGGATGCCAGTGAAAATTTTCAAAAATAATTACAACAATCCTTCTTTTATTTTCAGATATGAGCATGTTAATAATCATTTAGTGTCTGCAATAAAAGAAAATGGTGTAAATTTCTAAATTTCAGTATAGAGTAAAAACAGAGACAATGCATTTTTCCATTTGCAGTACGTTCAGAAATAAATGTCTCATGTAAAAATGTTACTGTAGGGCTAAAAAATTTAAGCATTTTCTTCTTCATCTGTGCACGACACCAGTATACTGCATACCTTGTTTGGACTTCTTTCTGAATTAAAATTTCTTATTTTCAGTGCAGCCAAAAGGCAGGCGAAAACTAGGTGTACAATTCTTTAACAAAAAATTGTATTTTTGGAGGGGTGTGTGGGGAAGAAAGAAGAATGCACTTGTTAATATTTTTAAGTAAATTAAAAGGACTTTTATTTTAAAATGACTTAGTTGTTGCTTTTCTTTTGGTATGCAGGAATGAGGATGGCCTGTCTTCAGAGTAGGCTATATTTTTGTTGTTGTGTTTGGTTGCATATATTTTATAAATGTCTTGACTTAGTTCCTTGGTCACTAAATCTGAGACTCCCAGTCACATGGAAGACTGTAGGCAGTAGGAGCATACAAATCCTGAAACTTCTTTCTTGTTTCTTTCCAAAAAAACTGATTAGAGATTTTGTTGTCCCAGGAAATAAATGGAAACTTTGAGAGCTATGGAATGGACCAGTGTATTTTGTCCAAGATTTACAAATAAATACCTAATGTTTACTCAACTTATATTACCATATCTAAATTCTTTGACTCATGACACTAGTATCGTTCCAAACTCAGCTATTATTATAGAGCAGTTTATGCTGTGTATCGGAACAAATGAAATATAATGAAGCATTGTTTTAATTTGAAACAACTTTTTTTCATTGGCCTTTTCAGGCTGTGAAAGTGATTTACAAAATTTGTTAAAAAATTTTTAATTGTTCAAAATCTTTCAAAATACTCAAGATTGGAAGGTGCTAACATTTCAAAAGTGGAGTGAAAATCAGTTAGTATAAATAGGTTATATTTTGCAAATGTACTCATCTTTATTAACCATGGTGAAATGTGAATAGGGCTTTACTTATCATGTGTACAATGGATGTCTTGTAATGTAAACACCACTATGGCAAACAAGATGTTTCTTTTATTCAGTCATTCCTATTGAGCAGATAGTACATAATGTATAGGAATTAAATAGACGTCTACCACAATGTTCCTCTCAGACAGCTATCCTTGTTAGGAAGTTCCAATTAACATGTATACAGTTGTACTTCAATTTTTGCATTTACAATTTTTTTTTTGAAGATTGACTGTAATGTCCTACAAATAATTATCACATATCCATAGATGCCATCACAAGTGCCTCTACCAATTTGTAAAAAAATTAATACACAAAGGAAAATGTATCTTCATATGTTAGAATGCTGTCAGGCGTTGATTGAACATGATTCTTAAATTACTTTTAACTGGAATATTGTCACTGGGAGCCGGTATTTCCGGTAAGGTATAGTGAGATTCTTCTCCCCCATGTTTTAAACTTTTATTTCATATTTCACATTACCAGTTACTGAATATATAAAGCCTACAGATTTTCAATTCAGGATGCAACTTTAATTCCTTTGTAATTATAAGTACAATGATATCAATGTGTAAGTCCTTCTGTAATGCTAGTTACTTTATAAAGGAAAAGTTACACCGCATTGTGTGAACAGAGTATGTTACTTTCCTGTAATGTGCAGTGAAATTATCCCTGTTACCCCTGTTAGGAAAACCTCATGGTATTGAATTATTTTTGGTCAGATCACAGAAGCAGAAATTTGCAAATGATCACTACCTACTTTGAAATGCAGCACCAACGTGGGGAAAAATAAAACTGCTGACAAAAGACTTTGAAGAATCCCCCACCATAATGCATATAATGCGTAATAACACAAATTAAAGTGTTTTGCAAGAATATAATGCACATTGAGTGTACAAAATTCTGTGATTTCTAATGCCATTACAACCAGACATTTTGCTGCCTGTAGTACACTCCAGTCTGTGTGTTTTCCTGTACATGCAGTGACTGGGATGCCTGTGGATGCATTACCATCTGCTGTTTCAAATAACCAAAAATAGAAAATGCTGAAAACCCTCATCAAGATAGATCACATCTGTGGACAAAACAGATCAGTTAACAATTTGGCTGTACATTCTTCTTAAAATTCCTTTTTGAAGAAGGTTCTGCACCCAAAATGTTAACTGCTTTGTCTTCTCCACTGATGCATGAGATGCTGAGTGTTTCAAACATTTTCTTTTGATCAGAAACCTCTTGTAGTCCACGAATGAAAGCTTGCTAGAGCATTGAAATATTTCTCCCCCTTATCCAAAGTCAGTCACAAATAGCTGTTTTAGTGTAATTATTCCCTACATGTAGAGCGTATAAGCCCCTTCCTGATCAATACCATGTATTGAATGAATGTATGTGTCACCCCATTTTCAAATTTAATGACTGTCAATATATAAGGTCCATCCCTTTAATGGCCTGAGGATAGAAATATTTTGTAAAAATAAGCACCTTATAAGTGACAAATTTTATCAGACTATGTTGATTCTTTTTTGTATTCTTGAGCATTTGTTAATAAAAGGAATATGCATACTTCTGTATATTCTGTTATTGTGGAACTATATGTGTGAATATATAGCTTTTTGCAACACAGTAACTTCAAGCAGTGTGTTAGAAATTGTTGCTGTAACACTGATGCCTTGCTATGACTTTGCTGTTGCTATTATATCTATTAGTCAAAACTTTGTTAACAAACGATACAGACAAACGGAAACTGCCTGGCTGCCTGTGTTGGGCAGGGCAGATTGCTGCAATGAAAGGATGTGTTTTGCTGTATCATGAGGGTTGTGGGGTATATTTTGCTCTGATTATTATGTTAACAAAAAAGCAGGTGTGAGAAAAAGTAATTCTTTATTTTACTTCGTTCCATGACACTAGTCGGATTTTCAGTAATGGCCTAAAATGGATGTGAGATGAGTAGCAAAATTGAACTTTATTAAGAACATGTGAAACATTGTTCTCTTCAAAGGCAGATAAAAGAAAATTGTATACTTTATGCCTACGGGGCTGAGAATGAGACTCCTTCTGAAGAAACAAGGACAAGTTTGAAATTTCTATATGTAAATTGCAGAGGTTCTTTTTGGCCCATTGGAATGGTTACAGCAGCCAATACTGGTGATATCATAGCTTGTGAGAACTGCAGAGTTAAGGTGATCTCAAAATAAGTGTTCCACAAGAGATTCATCACCTACCAAACCAACCAGCTCATGAGGAAGAGATAACA